CGCTTGAACCCAGGAGGCGGAGGTTGTGGTGTGCTGAGATCGTGCCATTGCACTCCAGCCTGGGCAACAAGAGCGAAACTCTGTCTCAAAAAAAAAAAAAAAAAAAGATTTCTCAGGATAGGACACAAGCAGCATGAACAATAAAAAAAAATAAATTGAATTTCATCAAAATCAAAAATTGCTCTAAGACACTGTTAATGTAACGAAAAGACAAGCCACAAACTGGGAGAAAACACTTAGAAACCACATACCTGATAAAGAACTTGTATCCAAGATATGTAAGGAACTCTTATAAGAAGACGAACAACCTAATATTTTTAAACGAGCAAGAAATCTGAACCAACACTTTACCAAAGATAAGATATGAATGGAAAACAAGCACATGAAAAGATGCTTAACATATCTGTCATTATGCAACTTAAAACCACAATGAGATATCACTCCATACACACCTACAAGAGGACTAACATTAAAAAATAAAGTGATGGTGAAGAGCACCTGGAACTCTTCTACATGGCAAGTAAAAAGGCAGTATGATGCGCTTCAGAAAATTTTAGAAAAATTTTGTAGTTTCTTATAAAGTTACCATAAAGTTTTATATTTCCATAATCCACAATTGCCCATCTTAGTCCAAAGTATTTATACTAAAGAAATGTAAACACATACCTACACAAAGCCTACACATGTATGCTTATAATAGCTTTCTTCATAACAGCCAAAAACTGGAGAAAACTCAGATGTCTATCAATTGGTGAATGGATAAACAAATAGTAGTGAATCCATACAATGAATACTACTCTACAGTAAAACAGAACAAACCACTGACACATGCTGTAACATCCATGAACTCCAAAAACATTATGTTAAATGAAGTGTGGGATAGTAGACTACGTTCTGTATAATTCTACTTAGAGGATATTCTGGAAAAGGCAAAACTACATGGATAAACATCTGAGCAGTAGCTTTCAGAGGCCGAGTATGGGGGGTGAACTGACTACAAAAGTGCCCAAGAGAATGTTTACCAATGACGTTCTATAACTTGCAGTTCTACTATCTGTGTTTGCTAATTAAACCATACACTTAGAGAAGGTGAATTTTACTGAGTGTAAATTATACCTCAATAGACCTGATATAAATTGCTTAGTTTTCTACTGGTAGTCACAGCTCTCTACTATCTTTCCACCATATCTCCCACTCATGTGTGCCCACTCTGATGCATTAGCCAAATAGAACTATTACCTTTATTATTAATAACAATAACAGCAAAAGCATTAGCAGTCAATATTTACTAGAACTTGCTATAGTCAGATACATGATAAAAGGAAAGCAGTCCACATATATTATCTCATTAATACAACCTTATGAAGTAGGCTCCACTGTTATCCTCATTTAGAGACAGAAACAGAGGCTTAAGGAGATTAATAATTTGCCCAAGGTCCTTCAACAGCTAGTATGTGACAGACAAGACATTTGAATTTAGGTCTACCTGACTCCAAAACTCTGATAATGAATTGCCTTAAGATTTCTATCAACATGTTTGCTTATGCTGTTACCTCAGAGATCTCTTCACCTCAACTTCATCTGCCTTCATCTTATCTATCCTTAAAAGCAAAATTTATATGCATGCCTCATTGATAAAGCTTTCCCAGATCCTCTTCACCAGCTGACAACCATATCTTTCAAAGCCTTAAAAGCTCCAGCACTAAATTAGTCCCTTATTTATAACACTTTACATATATCCTACATCCTGTCATAGTTATTGATCTACTTCCCCAACTAAATATTTTGCTATTGGAGGACAAGATCAAAGGTTTATTCACCCTTGTGTATCCCTGATACTGAACAAAACAGTTTATATTAATACATAACTTACAGAATGAATGAATAAATGAATGGTGGTTGGAACATTAGTCTACCTTTTAGTACAGTTAGATATTGTTTCATTCTACCCAGGCAATGGTACCCTTACTTATTAGCTGCTTTCTTTCTTTCTTTTTTTTTTTTTTTTGAGACAGAGTCTTGCTCTGTCACCCAGGCTGGAGTGCAGTGGCGCAATCTTGGCTC